TTCCCGTACTGCACTTCCCAGTTGACCCTTTTTTTCAGCTTTTTTAACGCGGCCTCGGCGTGGAGGTCTGGCGCCGCAGCGTGGCGCCGTGCCGCCGCTGCCTGGGGGGCGGCGCGGCGGACGAGGACGCCGCCTGGGAGGCGCTCGTCGCGGACGGCGGCGCTTGAGGCGCCTCTGCCCGAGGCGCCCGCCGAGCCGCCGTCTGTTGTGAGGGAAAATATAGGCGTGGGGTAGAGTAGAGTAGAGTGGAAGTGGAGTGGAGTGGAGTAAAATAGAGCAGGGTAGGGCACGGTAGAGCAGAACAGAGCAGAGCAGAGCAGAGTAGAGTGGAGCAGAGTGGAGTCTGGCAGAAAACAGTAAGTACGGGAGAGCAGAGTAGAGTAGGATAGAGTCGAGTAGAGTAGAATAGAGTAGGTTACGGTAGAGTATAGTAGGGTAGAGTAGAGCAGAATACAATGGAGTAGCGTAGAGTTGAATGGAGTAGACATGTGTATAGAGGAGTACAGTAGGAGTAGAGTAGAGTAGAGTAGAGTAGAGTAGAGTAGAGTAGAGTAGAGTAGAGTAGAGTAGAGTAGAGTAGAGCAGAGTAGAGAAGAGTAGAGTAGGGTAGAGTAGAGTAGAGTAGAGTCGAGTCGAGTCGAGTAGAGTATACTAGAGTAGAGTAGAGTAGAGTAGAGTAGAGTAGAGTAGAGTAGAGTAGAGTAGGGTAGGGTAGGGCTGGGTAGGGTAGGGTAGGGCAGAGCAGAGCAGAGAAGAGAAGAGAAGAGAAGAGAAGTAGAGTAGAGTCGGGCAGGGTAGGGTAGGGTAGGGTAGGGTAAGTCGATTAGAGTAGAGTTGAATTTAGTATGAGTATAATAGAGTAGAGCAGATCGGAACAGAGTAGGTAGAGTAGAGTAGGGTAAAGTATAGTGCAGTTGATATTAGTAGAGAAGAGTAGAGGACCCTGGCATGGAAGAGTAGTTAGACAGCAGTCAGGCATGGTAGAGAGCGGAGTAGGTAGAGTAGGGCAGAGTAGAGTAGGGTCAATGGTAGCGTAGAGCCTGGTAAACTAGAGTAGAGTAGAGTGGAGTACAGTAGAGTCGAATTGATGAGAGTCCGCCCCAATCCAGTCCAGCCGACTCCAGTCCAGTCTGTTTCAGTCCGCGCGATGACGCGTCATTTCAATCGTCTGACCGATTTGCACTCTGCACTTGCTCGTAGTTCTCTATCCGCCAGCAGGTGTCATAGTGGACATGGACCATCCGAAAAGGACCCCGTCGTGTTACGCGCAACCTGGAAGTGGGCCCGTGCTGGAGCGAGAGCGCCACTCCTCCTCCTCCTCCTCCTCCTCCTCCTCCTCCTCCTCCTCCTCCTCCTCCTCCTCCTCCTCCTCCTCCTCCTCCCGCTGCAGCGGGGGCACCATCGAGGACGGACCGAGCACGCTCGGATCGCACAGGTACGCAAGGAAAACGAGCCCGCACCGATCCCGTGCGCAGAAGAGCAGTGCGCCGAGGGGGGCTCGCCGCTCTCGGCACGCATTCGGGGGAGAGACAAGAGAAGAGCACTCCTGTTGTGTACTCGCGGCGGGGGCCGCCAGCGTCACTCTTCGCGCCGGCGCCGCCTGGGAATGAGCGTCCACCAGCCATTCCCAGGCGGCACTGGTGCCAATCGTAACGCGACCCAGGGGGAGATGAGAGGGGCGTCCCCAGTAACCGGCGTGATCCTGAATCGTACACAAAAATGCGTTCTTGAGGCTTGTGTGTTTGCTTCCTCGCTTGCGTGCTTGCCTCCTGGCGTGCGTGCCTGCTTCCTCGCTCGATTGATTGCTTGCTTCCTTGAAAAATTGTCTCCTTGCTTGCCTTCTTGGCTTGGTTTCTTGCTCACTTATTTGTTTACTTGCGTGGCGCACTTCGTTGTTTGCATGCGTGGCTTGATTGTTTCCCTATTTGCTCGCTTGATGAGTTGCTTACTCGCTTGTTTGCTCGCCATGAAATGCCTTGCCGTCGTGCTTAAGTACATGTTTGCGTCATTGGGTGTTTGCTGTATTGCTTGTGTGTTTGCGTCCGCCCTTGCTGTTTGCTACCTTGCTTAATTGTGTGGTTGCTTGATTCCCTGCTTCGCTGAGTGTTTCCTCGATTGCGTCATTGATCACTTCTTTGATTGATTACACCCTGACATTACGTGCATCGTTGCCTTATCTGGGCTTCCCTGGCTACTTACACCACATCCATCTGTAGGATGACTCCGTAGCACTGTGCGCGAACGCCTGTGGAAGTCAAGCGAGAACGCACGTAGGACAACCTCTCAAAGCGTGAATGAGAAAGGGCCGGGGGGGGGGAGACATCGCGAAGGTATCTTGGAGGGAACGCCGCGTGGCGCACGACGAATCGACGCTGCTGAACACCCCGATGAGGAGGTGGGATAAGAGGGAACGGCATGGGGGAACCGAGGCGAAGGAGGAGGAGGAGGAGGAGGAGGAGGAGGAGGTGGGGGAGGAGGAGAAGGAGGAGGAGAAGGAGGGGGAGAAGGAGGGGGAGAAGGAGGAGGAGGAGGAGGAGGAGGAGAAGAAGGAGGAGGAGGAGGAGGAGGAATCGGCTGGAATCGGCGGCAGGGCCCCGATGGCGAGCCCGCGCGCCCCTGGGCGGGGTGAGCTGCCAGGCCCCTCTTGGCGATGAGCGGGGGATTTTGGGGGTCGATGCGTCCCCACCTGTAGGGGGAAAACAAACCTACCTCGCTTTTGACCACCCTCGCTTCCAAGAGATACCAAACGATGCCAAATTGCAGCCTGTACTGGTCAGGCCGCTTGACGAGGAGGCGCGTGGTACGGCTTGGTTTTGCCTGGAAGCGAAAGCGGGGTAGGTGTTTCACGCTCTGAACCTGGGCATACCCCCCCCCTCCCCAGATGTTGCCCCTGACGAGCGTCGTACTCACCCCTTCACTAGGGGACGGAAGGACTGCATGAACCTAAACTTTGAAGGCTCCGCGCGGATTGCCTGGTGCTCGGAGCGCGCCAGGGGCGGCGCCAGAGGCGCTGCCGGGGGGGGCCTCAGCGCCGCTCCAAGAAATCCGCGCGGAGCGCCGAAAGCTTAGGTTGGTGCGGTTTTTTCTTCCTCCAGTGAAGGAATGAGAAAGCCGCAGGGGCAACGTCAGGAGGGGATCTGCTAAGGGAGGGACGCATGGAACCCCAAGCCCGCACTCATCGCGGATAGGGGCCCGATAGCTCACCCCGCCCAGGAACGTGCGGGTTGGCTCTCGGGGGCCCTCCCCCACTTCGGTCACCGATCACCCCGCGCTCGGGCCGGGTTGCCAAAACCGCCGCACCTCCTTCGTGGGAGGGCCCAATACCTGAAGGGCGCCTACCTTAGCGCTTCGCGCTGCGCGCTGCGCGAAGCGCGAATGCCTTCGCGCTCTCGCGCCGCCTCCCAAGGGAGAAGAGGCGGAGGATGAAGAATCGGAGCCGAACCGCGAAGCGCGAAGCGCCAATAACTTCGCGCCCTCGAGGGCGCCCTTGCTGCCTCCCCTCCCCCTCGCCGCCGCGACGCCGCTGCGCGAGCGCGGCGCCTGCCGCGCAGAGGCCCACTGCTCGGCTCTCTCGGGGCTTCCCCTGACACCCCTCGCACAGTTCCCGCCACCCAGGGTGCTCCACCGAGGGCCCCAGCGGGTGCCTTCGCACGGCGTCGCCCCGCCCATTGCGGCACACTCCTCACACATTTCCTGCCCCCCAGGGTGCTCCACCGAGAGCCCCAGTGTTTGCGTTCGCATGGCGTCGCCCCTCCCATTTCGGCGCACCCCTCATAGCCTTGCATGACGCTTCGCGTCTGTTCCGATTCCGATTCCCCTCATGGCCTTGCTCGAGAGGGGGGAGCAGGGGATGATGATGATAGCGATGCCGACGAAAAGGAGGATAGAGGATAAACAAAAACATAGACATACACTTTCGGAGGTCCGCGCGGATTTCTTGGATCCGCGCTGGAACCCTGGCCCTGCCGCGCGGAGCACGCCAGGGGCGGCGCCGGGCGCGCCGCCAGGGGGGTCCATCGTAGATCCAAGAAATCCGCGAGGATATCCGAGGGTTAATGTTTGTGACGTTCTTTCGTTTCGAGCTGTGGCCGCCCGAGAGGAAAAGGGCCGACGTTAATAGCGATGCAGACAAGAAGAGTAGGAGGAGGAGGAGGAGGAGGAGGAGGAGGAGGAGGAGGAGGAGGAGGAGGAGGATGAGGAGGAGGAGGAGGGGGAGAGGCGGGAGGAGGAGGAAGAGGAGGGGAGGAGAAGGAGGAGGAGGAGGAGAAGCAGGAGGAGGAGGAGGGAGAGAAGCAGGAGAAGGAGGAGAAGGAGGAGGAGGAGGAGGAGGAGGGAGGAGGAGAGGGAGGAGGAGGAGGAGGAGGAGGAGAAGGAGGAGGAGGTGGAGGAGGAGGAGGAGGAGGAGGAGGAGGAGGAGGAGAGTAGGAGGAGGAGAAGGAGGAGGAGGAGGAGGAGAGGAGGAGGGAGGAGGAGGAGGAGGAGGAGAGGAGGAGGAGAGGAGGAGAAGGGAGGAGGAGGGGAGGGGAGGAGGAGGAGGGAGGAGGAGGAGGAGGAGAGGAGGAGGGAGGAGGAGGAGGGAGGAGGGAGGAGGAGGAGGGAGGAGGAGGAGGGAGGAGGGAGGAGGAGGAGGAGGAGGAGGAGGAGGAGGAGGAGGAGGAGGAGGAGGAGGAGGGAGGAGGAGGAGGAGGAGGAGAGGGAGGAGGAGGAGGAGGAGGAGAAGGAGGAGGAGGAGAAGGAGAAGCAGGAGGAGAAGGAGGAGGAGGAGGGAGGAGGAGGATGAGTGCGGATGAGTGCGGGCCAAAACGGATCACGACCGCCTGCGCTTTCGTGCCGTGGGAGCCTCGGGCCGCTTCGGGCCGTCCCCGAACCAGACCCTCGACTCCAGGAGCCCCTATAGGGGCTGGTTGGCGGAGGGGTGTAGTCCACTCCACAACCGCGTCAGCCTACCCCCGACCACCCTTTGGGCCCCAGGGCGACATGGAGAGAATAGGCCCGTCCACCTGTCACGGGCGTACCTGGCACACCTGCGGCAAAAGACGTACGTGCTGCGGGTCACTATTTTGTGCCCCGCTCTCTGGGCTCTGTCGACCCTGGTGCGCGCCCAGCCCACAGCGGCCCGAGACGGGAGGTCGGCCACCAGGGGCGGGGCAGGGGGGTCAGGAGCGGCCAGGGCCCCGCCCTCCTCGCCCACGACCGCCCCCAGGTTCCCAGGAAGGTCCAGGAGGTCCGAGGGGGGGTCGGGGGGGTTCGAGTCCGTCGGACTCGAGCCCTGCCCAGCGTCGACAATGTCACGGCCCAGGACTCCTATGTATGCTCCGAATTCCAAGATGTCCCGAACCAGTCGATACTTGTGAATGTAGGCCTCTCTACACCAAACAGGGTGGGTATGATACAGAGCTCCCTGCTTGGCATACTGATCAGCGATTGTGTTGCCCTCCCACTGCGCGCGCCCGATAGCTGCTCGCTCGGTGCGCGTCGCGTGGGCCTTCACTTTCAGCACCTGCACGGCGCGTGGGCCCAGGCCTCCGAGCTCTGCGATGGCCTGGGCGATGCACTCCCAGAGGTCGAGGTGCGGGCGGCTCCTCTTGTCGAGCGACGCTGGTCCCGCCATCACGCCGTCGACGACGTTCTGGCAGTCGGTGAAAATGCGCATGGGCGGGGTGCCCACACGCAGCGCCTGCAGCAGCGCGTAGAGCTCCGCCCGCAGGATGCTCTGGACCCACTGTGCGCCAGGGAGGGGCCCGTAGCACACGTAGTCCATGTCGTACTCGTCGTTGTCTTTGAGCTTGGTGAAGCTCCATCCCCCTCGTCGCAGTGGTGCGTAGTCGCCGAACTGCAACGAGCCGTCCACGTAGATGTCCCCTGTCGCGAGGCCGTCCCAGTTGCCCTCGGTGAGCCAGTCGTCGCACGATGCTAGCTCCCATAGCCCGAGCTCGTCGGCGGGGTCGGCCGTGATGCCGCGCCCCCAGAGAGCATCGGCTCCTGGGCCTGGCCAGGGGTTGGCACCTCGCTGCTGAATGTGGAGGCCTCCGACAACGTCGCGATGTGGCTGGCGCACTGGGCACACGAAGGTGCGGTGCCTGTCGGTGCCTGGTGCCAGCCCGCACGCTCTGCATGTGCTGTCGGTAGCCACTCCTGATGCATGTAGCCGCGCCCGCGGCCATGTCCCTCCGCAGAACAGCCCCCCCACTCGAGTGCGGTGGGCCTGCGCCCAGCGGCCCTGGAGGGGCCGTCGTAGTAGTGCTTGCACCGGTGCCAGGAAGATGGAGGTGATGCCGTACTGGCGGCCGTGCTGGCCCAACCACTCGTCCTGCAGCTGCTTCTCCGTGGCGCGCGCGACGTGGTGCTGGATCTCCTGCAGCACGGTGTAGCGGAGGTCGAGCACGTTCCCGTCGATGGTGACTGTGTGTGATGCCTGCGTCATCCAGCCGAGGCGCCTGACCGTCGCCACGAACGCCCCCGCTGGCCCCCGAACTGTGAGCCAGGGGGCCTTGCACTTGTAGATCTTCATCACCCAGGTGCGCCACGCGCTCTGGAGCCGCGCGGCCAGCTGGTCGTCCTCGAGCGCTTCCTGCCACGCCGTAGCCCATGCGATGATGGGGCCACTGTTGGCGAGGATACCTGGGTCGGCCCTGTCGCTGAGCAGCGTGAGCGCCGTGGACCTTCCCTTGTTGTTGCCCTCCATCGCCGCCGCCACGTTCTTCCTGAGCTCGGTGAGCTTGGAGTCTGCCATGCCGACGACGGAGGATCTGTAGAGGAGGGCTGGCACTTTGGCTTGTCGAATCAGCTTGTGCGCCGCTCCTCCTGCTCTGCGCACGGCTGCCACCCGTGCCTTCCTCGCTGCATACTTGAGCGCCCACTTGTTGATGGCGGCCACTCTCCTCCGTCTGCATGCTGTTGCTGTCACTCCCAGGTGCTTCCCGTGCTTGGCCACTCTCACGCCGAGGTGCCTGGTACTCTTGTTGATGTGCTGGCCCAGCGCGGTGGAGGAGGCCAGGGTGGCCGTTTTCCCCTCCGCGCCCCGCGAGACGGCCATGTCCAGCGTGGTCTCGAACATGATGACCACGGCCTCGATGAACCGCGGGTGGACCTCGTCGACGCACTCGTGCCTGCCGTACGTGGCCATGGCGAGGTCGTCGAAGAAGAGGCACGTGTCTGCCCAGGGGAACTGGTGCACCAGCCTGTCCAGCTCGAGGATGATCACCATCTTGAGACAGAACGGTGCATACCTGCTACCCGCCACGATGCCGCGCTGCCACGCCTTGCCGTCGGTGTAGCACCCGTCCAGGAGGATGCGCCGCACCATGCTGAAGATCTTGAGGACAGTCCGCATGATGATTGGATTGAAGCCCATCTCTGCGACGCCTCCCACACCTTTCGATGGGTGACCCACTCGAAGCACTTGATCAAGTCGAAGTAGGTCACCGCATAGTCGTGTCCGTCGGCCCGCGCGGCCTCACAGTAGAGTGCCTGTAGCCATGCCGCGCGTTCCGACGATCTCCCTCGGCGCGCCCAGTCATAGGCTCGCTTGTTTGCTGCCTCCCACCGCCTGGCGTAGGGGATGCGGATGGTCTCCCACACGCGCGCCAGCTCAGGGATAAGGCCCAGGTTGCGAAAGCCACCTGCCGCCTTCGGCGTGAGGTAGAAGAGGATGGTGGCCTGCGACGTGGGCCAAGGCGCTCCTCGCTCCACCGCGTTGAGCACGCTTGCCACGCGTGCCGTGCCTGAAAACCCGCCATGTCGCCAGGGACGCGGGTGCCAGTCTGCTTCTCCCAGGCCTGTCCCAGCTCGGAACCGCCCACAAGCCTCGATGACGTCCCTCGGGGTGATCCGCGGGACTCTGTGCTCGCTCCACTCGTCGTCGCTGGGGGCCTGGCACCACGGCTCGTCGGCGTTGTAGCTGTCCGCCCAGACCGTCTCCCAGCCCTCCAGCGCCGTGCCCGCTGCCACCTGCGGCTGCGTGAGCTCCTGCTGGGTGCGGGACTCTGTCGGCTGGATCGGGGCCCACGGCACAGGCGGCTTAGTCCACTTGTGCAGCGCCCCCGCCCCCGCCTGGCTGCGCCTGGTCACCCAGCGTCGCCAGTCTCGAGCCGCTTCCTGCCGTACTCGCCGCCACGCGTGCCGGCTGGCCACTGTCATGAGCTTGGCCACGCAGTCCACGTAGTGCAAGCCCCTCTCGGTGATGTGCTCGGCGTCGATCCAGGCGACTGTGTTCACCAACTTGCCCCAATCGATGTCCGTGTCTCTCCCCCGCCCCGTCGGTCGGCGGCGCTCTCCTGCCGCTTCCGCCCCGACCAACGGGCAGTCCTGCGAAGCCGTGAGGCCGAGGACAGCGGGTGTCCGCCGAGGAGTATTCTCTGGGAGGCTCGTCATGTCCTCCTCGACTCGGCGCACTGTGTAGTTTAACTCGTCCAAGTTGTCTGAGTTGTCCTGCTCGTCCGTGGCGTCGTCATTGCCCCGCCCCTGGTCGGGCTCGGCGCGCCATGCTGGGTGGTTCCGCTCGAGGAGCGGCCCGATGATGTCCTTCCCTAGGATGCCCTTGGCGTTGTTCTGAGCCCAGACCAACGTCTCTTGCTTCCCGTTCTTCCACCACGCTCGCACTGCTGTGCTGACGTGTTCCAAGCGGCGTCCCAGCCACTCGGCTGCCTCCGCCCACTGCTGCTCTCGCGCGGCCTCGCGCACCGTGGGTGGCTTGAGCTGCTCCCAAGCGTAGGTGGGCAGCTGCAGGTGGCCCTTGCGCTCGTACCAGTCCAGGCCGACGTAGTTGAAGTACTTGTTCAGGTGCTCCTCGTACGTGTTGGCCAGGTTGCCCCAGTATCGGTCCACATCTTCCTGAGTACGCCTGCTGTGCTCCAGGAGTCGCGGCCACGAGGTCGGCCCCGCCACGCAGCCCGTGGGCAGCTGAAGTGGCCATCCCCGTTGGCGCCGCAGTACCCTTACCCAGCGCTCCTCTTCCCGTAGGCGAGGGACTCGCAGGAGCACAACTGAGTGCGGCGCCGTCTTGCACTGATCCTGCACGGCCACGTGGAGCGGGCCATCCAGGAGCGTCTTGGACAAGATGAAGTAGTCGCGGCGCCGTGCCTCGCCCAGTGTGACGCACGAGCCGCGCGAGGTGTCGAACGCGATGACCCCGTCCATCCTGTTGACCACCCCTGTGCGCTGTAGCTCTGCTGGGTCCATGTTGAAGTCGCCGCCCAGGATCCAGTACTTCCCCGCCGCCGCCGCGGCCGTCGTGAAGTTCCGAAGGATGGCCCTGTTGCGGTCTGTCATGCCCTAGCTGACCCAGAGGTGGGCCGTGCCTATGGTGATGCCCTCCTTGCCGAGGTCCTTGCCGCGGGCGCGAACCCGGCCAATCGCGAGGCGGCCCTTGGACTCGCGGGGCGAGATGTCCCACGTGTCGAGCCTCCTGGCGTAGCTCATGTTGTTTGGCCGCACGGTCGCCAGGAGCACCCCTGCGCTCCAGCCCCCCCGTGCGGTGCGGACGCTCGGCGCAATGCCCAGCCTCCAGCCCTCCTTCTGCATGCGCTGCGTGAAGCAGGAGATGCTGTGCTCGTTTGCCTGCAGCTCCTGCGCCATGATGATGGGATACTTGCACGTGTACCTGATGGAGCGCATAGTCCGCTCCAGCGTGCCGATGGAGTTCGCATTGATGGTGAAGAAACCCCGCCCCTGCTCTTCGTCAGGACGAAGGCGGGGCCGTCCACATGCTCTTGCTGATGGTGAGCGCGGTGTCAGGCTGCATGCCAGCAAGCAGAGGCAGAAGGTGAGGCCGATGGCGCTCGATCTGCTCGGCTGCGCAGCCTGCCTCCTGCATGATCTTGGTGATCTGCGTCGCGTCGGCGTTCTGTGGGAAGGAGACCAGCTCCTGCTTGATCTCCTCCGCAGCTCTGCGCTTGTTCCTCTGCTGCTTGTCGTGGGCGGCCTCCCGCGCTGCGGCGTCGGCCTCCTTCTTGGCCTTGGCGGCTGCTGCTGCTGCGGCCGCAGCAGCTCGCTCCTCCTCGGCGGTGTGCTGCTGCTGCGCGTGGCGGAGGGCTTCGGCGATCTTGGTGTCCGTCTCCTGGTCGCGCAGGCACTTCTTGGCTTGCTCCAGGAACGACACGGCCGCTCCCCAGCCCTTGCCCGGCTTGGGCACGCTGAGCTCTTCGATACGGGCACTCTGCTTCTGCAACTTCTCATCTTGTCTGGCCAGGAGGGCTTTCTCCCTGTCAAGCTTCTCCTGGGCCTCCTTGATCTCCTGCTCCAGCTTCTCGACCCGCTCCTGTGTGCGCTCACGCTGCGCCTCTCTCGGACCAGCTTGCACTCCGAGAAGCAACGTGGGATGTCGCTGCCGCTGTCGACAGCTGCCTGCAAGTCAACAACTTCTTTCTGCACGACGTCGATGTTTCCCTGGGCGTGCTTGGCCAAGTCTGGGTCCTCCGCCTGCCGTCGAAGTTCTGCCAGGTGTGCCCGTAACTTCTTGAGCTTTGCTTTGGTGGCATCCTCGGCCTCTGCGTCGTCCTGGGAGCTGGCTACACCGTGGTTCGCAGTCTTCGCGGAGCCACGAACCTTCCAGCACTTCCCGCAGAAATCGTAGCCGTCCCCATTCCGAGCTTTGCATCCGCTGCAAGCCCAGCCTCCATCCCGCGACTTGGAGCTTGGAGCCATGAAAAGGCTCGAGAGCGCAGTGCCACTCTGAAGTTGGCGCTCTCCAGCACCGTCCCGCCTCTCTGCAGGCGCAAAGGCGGCTCGGCGCAGAATGGCTGGGAGGAGGAGGAGGAGGAAGAGGAGGAGGAGGAGGAGGAGGAGGAGGGAGGAGGAGGAGGAGGAGGAGGAGAAGGGAGGAGGAGGGGGAGGAGAAGGAGGAGGAGGAGGAGAAGGAGAAGGAGGAGGAGGGGGAGGACGGAAAGGAGGAGGAGGAGAGGAGGAGGGGAAGAGGGAGGAGGAGGAGGAGAAGGAGGAGGAGGAGGAGGAGGAGGGGAGGAGGAGGGGAGGAAGAGAGGGAGGAGAGAGGAGGAGGAGGAGAGGAGGAGGAGGAGGAGGAGGAGGAGAGGAGAAAGAGAGGAGTAGGAGGCGGGGAAGGAGGAGGAGGAGGAGGAGGAGGAGGGGAGGAGGAGGAGGAGGAGGAGGAGGAGGAGGAGGAGGAGGAGGAGGAGGAGGAGGAGGAGGAGGAGGAGGGGAGGAGGAGGAGAGGAGGAGGAGGAGGAGGAGGAGGAGGAGGAGGAGGAGGAGGAGGAGGAGGAGAGGAGGAGGAGGAGGAGGGAGGAGGGGGGAGGAGGAGGAGGACGACGATGGAGGAGGAGGAGGAGGAGAAGGAGGAGGAGGAGGAGGAGCAGGAGCAGGAGCAGGAGGAAGAAGAGGAGGGAGGAGGAGAGAGAAAGAGAGAGAGAGAGAGGGAGAGAGAGAGAGAGAGAGGCAGAGAGAGAGAGAGGGAGAGAGGACGATGGCGAGGACGGCGACGGGGACGGACCCGCACCGCAGCGCTGGCCCCACCCGGCGGGGATGGGAGCCCCGCCGTGAACCGTGGGCGGACGGGCTCGGCGCCCAAGGCGTGGGCCTCCGGCGGCCGCCGGCCAATTCCTGGGGGGGCCCAAAAATACCGGTACGCTCGCGTCGTAAGCCTCCCCAAGCCTCCCCCGGGGAAGGGGGGGAGGGGGGGGAGGGGGCGGTCCCCCATCTGGCGTTTTCTTAATGATTTGCGCATCCCCAAGATGTTGCGGGGGGTCCAAGGGACCCCCCTCAGATCTAGCCAGGACCCTCCCCTCAGAACCCTCCCCGGACCCCCCCCAGGACCGCTCCAGGCACACCCCCAGAGGGCGCGTCAGCTCCAAAAAGCGCCCCCGACGACCCCAAGAGCGCCCTCCCCCTCAAACAGCGTCCTGGACGACTCCAAGATCACAGAATCCGGAGCCCCCCGGATCGGCGGCACTGGCCGGAGGCCATTACAATACCGGTACGCTCGCTCTGGAGGGAGGAGGAGGAGGAGGAGGAGGAGGAGGAGGAGGAGGAGGAGGAGGAGGAGGAGGAGGAGGAGGAGGAGGAGGAGGAGGAGCGAACGTCGCGGGCGAGTCCGTCGGAAGGCCGAGCTACGGCGCGCCCGCTCCGCCCGAGAAGTCGGCGGGCAGCTTCAGAGCGTGGCGGGCGGCAGCAACGGCGGTCACTTGCTTCTGGTACGTCATCGGCATGCCATCGTCCTTGGTGAGGTGGTATACCCGCGTCGCAACGCTGAGCCTCGCAACGCTGTTGGGGATGCCATTCTCTCCGTCGAAAGGGTCGGTGGGCTTGGGGAGGCCAAGCCTCGTCAGTAATTGTGCGCTCAGCTGGCCTCTGGGTTTGGCCAGTTGGTGCCACATGCGGCCACAGATGACGTAGTGCTGGATGGCGTCTTGGCCGTCGGGGAGGGGGCACCCGAAGTGGCAGGAGCGCTTGATGGGGATCACGTGCATCCTGTGGGAGGTCGTCCATGCCCCCGCGAGCACCTTCAGCGCGCCCCACAATCTGGCTTGCGGGAGGGTCGCCAGGTGGGAGCGCAGGCGCAACCATCGGGCAGGTAGATCAGCAGGAACGTTTTCAGCTTGTAGAAGGTCTGGATGTGCGTCAGGGACTTCTGGTAGGACTTCGTCATCAATGTCGTCATCTTCGCAGTGGAGGTCCTCGGGGTTGGCGTCGGGCTCGAAGAAGGGGAGGATGTGGCTGATCCAGCGGCGACGGGCACGATGTTGGGCGGCTTCATATGTGAGTAGCGAAGAACGAGGGGATCGACTGCGAGGAGATACGCGGGGTGGGACATCGCGGGCAAGGCGGCGTGCGAGTAGAAGTCGTCCCGTGCCGCTGTAGTCCCACGACTGGATGCACATGTTGACTGCGATGCGGTGGCGCTGGATGTTCGTAGCGTACAGCGGCAAGAACTGGTCGGTGCCGAGGAGCTCGTACAGGTGGTGCACCACTGCATCCAGTCTTCGCGGTTGTCGATGCTGGGGTCGTTAAGCAGGATGTTGGGGAGCCAGTGGGCGGCCCAGGCACGGGCGCGGTTCATCAATCGGTCTTGCGCTCGTTCAGCTTCACGTCGGGGTCCGTCTGGTGGTTCGCGCGTGAGCTGTCAGGAGGAGGAGGAGGAGGAGGAGGAGGAGAAGGAGGAGGAGGAGGAGGAGGACGAGGAGGAGGAGGAGGAGGACGAGGAGGAGGAGGAGGAGGAGGAGGAGGAGGAGGAGGAGGAGGAGGAGGACACCCCCCCTCCCGCACCCTCCGCACCCCCGAGCCTGTCGCAGCCAGCCGGAGCCCGCCTGGACTCGCGCGACCTCTACGCGTCGGCGTCGGCACCGGGTGCCGCTGCCGTGCCCGCGCCCCCTGGGGGAGCCAGCTGCTCGGGCTCCGCGGCAGCGGCCTTTCCGGAGAGTATGTGCTCTGCCTCGGCGAGCGCCTTGCGGAAAGAGCACAGCTGCCTCTCTGGCCTGGAGGGGGCAGTCCCAGATCTCCGCCGACATGATTGTTTCACCCCCAGCGTTTTTCCCTTGACGTCGGCCTCTGAGGCCTGTCACTGGTCCCCAGAACTACATCCCGCTTCGAAATCAAGCGCAAGGTTCTCCCGCGACGCGGCGGCGCCCCAGGACCCCGAAATCTCAACGTTCGCGCCGAATCTGGCGACTGCAAGCACCAACATCGGACCCCGCGGGCCGCGCTCCGCGCGTCGATCAACAATACAAACTTGCGTCTGATTTCGAGGAGGGTTGCATGAAGCATGGATCCAGGGCGAAGGGCAAATCTCTCCTGGGGAAGGCGTCGGGACCTCTGAGGCCGCGGATTTGGAGAAAAATGTGAAGGCACGCCGAGCAAGGCAGGAAGGAGCTCTTCTGTCCTCGGCGGCGCGCTCACGGGGGAAGGCAGAAGGGCGAGCCTTCTCTCGGGCGGGTCCTAATGGGGGATGACCCAAATTGGAGATGACCCTTCCAGGCCCTCTTTTTCACCCCCCCTTTGGGCCACCTCCAATTACTCCCCGCCCGATTCTCGGAAGGCTCCGAAGGCCTCCTGCCTTCCGAGAAACACCGCAGGCCTTCTCCGAAGACAGGGGCGGCCTCTCAGAGGGCCGGAGGGCCTCTGCGAAGCCCCGGCGCCCCTTGAGAAGGCCTGCCCCCTCTCGCCTTCCCCCCGGGGTGCGCCGCTGGTGTCCTGGAGGGCGCTGCCCTCGTGCCACCGTCGGGATCCAGCAAAAGGAGGGGGGGGGACCCGGAGGGGGGGCATGCGTTCGATCCGCTGGTGCACCGCCAAACGGATGCCCCCCACATGCCCCACCCATGGGCAGTTACCGGGAACTCTGCCTGCGGCTGGGGGGCATCTGTTCTTGGGCGGTCCGGTGCAAAAGCCGATCGAACTCACACACCCCCTGGGGCACACCCTCCCTTTGCGGGATCCCGATACGTACCATCGGAGACGCCGAGTGAGGAACGAGGGCGCTCTTCTGGCAGCGGCGAGCCTCGGCCGCGAGTGCAGTCCTCGTGCTATGCCCGGAGGGGAGCGCCGGATAAGGAACGAAAGGGGCGTTGCTGAGCCACGACCAGCCTCGGCCGCGAGCGGGTTCCCCCAAACGCAGGTTCTTGACACTGCTCCGACGCCTTCCCCAGAAGAAGCTTGCTCGTCGCCCTGGACCCATGCCTCATACAGCCCTCCTCGAAATCAAACGCAAACGTTCAATGCTGATCGACGCGCGGAGCGCGGCCCGCGGGGTCCGATGTTGGTGCTTGCAGTCGCCAGATTCGGCGCGAACGTTGAGATTTCGGGGTCCTGGGGCGCCGCCGCGTCGCGGGAGAACCTTGCGCTTGATTTCGAGGAGGGAGGTGGGTACCAAGAACGGTCCGAAAACGAAGCACCTCCCGAAGCCCAAGTGGTCAATCACCCATTTTCTTGACTGTACGCTCCCCGGCCTAGGTCGACCAGGAGCTGCCCGACGACCCGAACCCCTCCCGGGCCCAGAGTGGTCCTCGTTTCAGCGCCTTGCGATCCTAGGGTGGTGACCCTGGAAGGCAGCCCCGAGAGGTGACCTGAGCGAGGGTAAGGAGAGCTCAGAATCGAATCGATTAATCGCATCGGAGATCGACATGAATCGGATCGCCAGAAGTCGGCAGCCAAGTCGGAAGAAGTCGAATCGGCGGATATCGGCAGGCCAGTAAGGCCTCCACTGAGATACCGAAATCCAAATCAGAACCCGAAGCAGTTTCGCATGGGAATCGGAAGCCATCGAAATCAAATCGACTCGAATCGAATCGAATCGGAGGAGTCAACACGAGCCGTAAAATTCACGAGAGGTGAGCGGAGCTATGACGCTGATGCTGACGCTGGCGATGACGATGACGATGACGACATCGTCAGCGTCACTATCATCTTCATCGTCATCGACATCGTCATCGTCGTCATCATCATCAGAATCATAATCATCATCGGCAGCAGCAGCACCATGATCATCGTCATCAACCGCAGCATCATCATCGCCAGTATCGCCACCATCACCGTCATCGTAATTACTCTTACCAGCAGCATCATGAGCAGCAGCATAACCATCATAATCATAATCCGCATCAGCATCATCATCAGCAGCAGCATCATCATCGTCGTCGTAGTGGTCGTGGTCGTCGCCGTCGTCATCATCCGCATCATCGGCCTCATCAACATCCTCATCCTCATCCCCATCCTCCTCCTTCTCCTCCTCCTCCGCCTCGTCATCATCATCAGCAGCATCAGCAGCATCATCACCGTCATCAGCATCAGCATCAGCATCAGCACCAGCATCAGCATCAGCATCAGCATCAGCAGCATCAGCAGCAGCATCATCATCATCATCAGCATCGTCATCATCATCATCATCCTAACTGCATGGAGGCATGTTTGTTTCAGGCACGGCGGCACCCGCGGGGCCACGAGCAGATATGGTGGGGCAGTGCGTATTGCCGTGCCGAAGAGGGGGCGGGGTGGAGGGGGCTGGGGCAGAACAGAGGGGCCAGCGGAAGCCGGACGTGGCGGGTCAGTAGTCCGACCCGGCCAGACCTTTTCTCGGCGGCGCGCCGAGGGGGAGGTGAGAGGGAGAAGGCCTCCTCAGAGGGCGGCGGGGCTGGTCAGAAGCCCCCCGGGATTCTGAGTTCTCTGTGTCGTCGGAGATGGCTTCGAAAACTTCTCAGGAAGGCCCGAGGCCTTCCTTTCCTTCTGAGAGGGCCCGCCCCGTCTCACTTCCCCATCCAAGCTTGCCGCCGACTTTTCCCACCCCCTTCAACTCCTTCCGTGTGGCATGCGCACGGCGCTCATCTCCCACGCGAGCAGTTTGCGCTCCTGGGGTTATGCTGGCACGCTGCGCCAGGTCATCTGAGGAATCCCCAGAGGCTGGACCAGCACCCAAGATATTGAGAGGAGCATGTATGTAGGAGATTGAAGGGTTAATCTGGGAAGGTGAAAGGCGCGCCTCATAAATGGGCTTTAGCCTATTGCGCAGGAGATCACAACCCGAGGACAACGTGCCAGCACAATCCTGAACCCATGCGCGCTTGCCGTCCCCCAAGAAGCGCACCCAGTAAGGGCTCGCGTCGTCTGGGGACGTGAAGCCGATGCACTCGACCTGCACCTAGGGAATGCACCAGAATCAATCATCATGCTCATCCTCCTCCTCCTTCTCATCATCATCATCATCATCATCATCATCATCACCACCATCCACCACCACATCATCATCATCATCATCATCATCATCATCATCATCATCATCATCATCATCATCATCATCATCATCATCATCATCATCATCATCATCATCATCATCATCATCATCATCATCATCATCATCATCATCCTGAGCAGCAGCAGCAGCAGCATCATCATCGCATCGTGCCAGAAGCATGCACCGACGACCACTTGGTGCGTCGGTGGCGCTGGAGGCAAAGGCGGCGGCGGCCTACACCGTGTTCCAGGCCGCGCCCCCCCCCCCCTCTGCGCACCCGACCACACCGGCTCCGAGCCGCCGACCGCACCCGCCGCGTTGGGAGAGGTGGTGACCCACGACACCTCATCCCCATTCCCAGACCCCCTCGAGCCCCCCCCAAAAAACTCAGGGCAAGAGGTTTCTCGCTAGTGACGGCCTCTGGGGGCCCTCGCCGGGCCTCGGGACCGTCAACAAAAACGACTCAGGGTGAAAAACGGGTCCCGGGGAACGGGTCGAGGCCTCTGGGGGCCGACGCTGCCGAAAAAAGCATGGCGTCGGGGCTCCGTGTTCTCCCCGTGCACCGGCCATCGGGGACCGTAGCCGACGCACCACAGGAGCTCGCCGCGCGAGAACGCGAGACCGCGCCGCGCGCTCCACAGCGCCGTGCACGATCCGCAGCAGATCGGCGTGCCCGCGCGGCCTACCCGGAGCAGGGCGACACGCGACAACGGCAGCTCAAGATCCGTCTCCGGACGCCTCTCGGGGCCCAAGAGCACCAGTCTTCCGAGCTGCGTCTCGCCGTGGGGACGAGGGGGCCCAACGAAGGCCAATCACCGTTGCCTCAGCTCGCCCCCTCTCGGTGCGCTCTGGTCTTCGGGCCGAAGCTCGGCTCTCGGGCGGGCGCTCGGGACGATCCGGGCCCCCGCAACGACGCTGGCGGCGAGGCGCAGCCGCTGGAAGGCACCCCGAGGCTGGAGCAGCGCCGAAAACCGACGCAGGTGCAAGAACACCTCGGACCTCGAACCCGAAACGTTGCCTCCACTCCCCCTCCTCTGGCCTGCGCCGCCGGCGTCCGTCGGCCCGCCGCAACCCGGGCACGCGGCGCCCACGCCCGGGCCCGCGGACGGGCCGGCGGTGGCGCCGGCGGCGCCCGTTCGGCCAGCCCCGGCGGCCGCGCCTCTGCGGGCGCAGGGCGCTCGCACCGAGGGCGCGGGCGCCGGCGCGCTCTCGAGGCGCACGGCGTCGGCCCCTGGGTCGCCAGGAGTAGCGGGGCCTGCGAGCGTCGCTCGAGCGATTCCTATCCCCACGGGCGCGGCCTTGACCCGACGGGCTGAGGTACCATGGTCAGGCGGATGGCCATGGGGGATGGCCCCAATGGGGGGTGGCGAAAGAGACCCTATAGAGGGGCCCTGTGTGCCCTTTTGGGCACCAGCTTGCTCCGAAAGGGGCCCTAAAGCGCCCCTTTAGAGCCCTCTTCTTCACCCCCCTTTGGGGTCACCCCCCATTGCCACCCGCCCGACCGTGGCCCAGATGGGATGGGGATCGGTTAGGCGACGCTGAGCCTGCGGGCGGCAGCAGCTTCCGCAGTCGCCACGCCACGCTGGCGGGGACGCGCCAGAGGTTCTGCTGGCCCTTGCACTCGAGGGCGGGGTAGCCCCGGGCTCGAGCCGGCCGGACCAAGCTGGACGGCGTGCCGTGCCCGAGCAAGCACAAATCGCGCGTTCCATCAGTTACGAACGCGATGGCTTCGAAACCGATTCGACGCCAACGCGTTCGTTGCCGAAGGCTAGATTCCTGATTCGGGCTGGGGTGAAGGGCGCGCAACGATAATACAATTCCACCTGGCGTCCCCCGTGATAAGATTGGGGGCCGCCGAGGATGAGAGGCACAGTGATGCTCTCCTCAACCAATTCAAAACAGCCCGCCGCAGGCGCCCATGTTGTTTGGGAGTGACATCGATGGGGGTGTGTCTGCCCGCCGCAAAATCGTGGGCCGACGACGACATCAAGACAACAATAACCATCGCGACAATCCGCACCACAGAACGCCAGTACAGCCACGAAGCCTGGCACAGTGTAAGACCACTCGGCCCCCTCACTCTGACGTTAATATAGGCATGCAGGTCAGCTCGAGTCTGCCCCCCCTGGCCCGGCACCGTCCACCAGCCAAAGGCAAAGCAAGAGGAGCGGGAGGGGTTGGGAAGGCGTGGAAAGGCTTGTCGACCGACCGACGATGAGGGGTTAGAGAAATACGAATCAGACTACAAAATAAAAAACAAGATTAATGACAACAGCCACTACGTTGACGAGACAGGATGAGAAGGATGAGGATGATGCGGGTGGGTGAGGAATGAATGAAGTTGCTGGGCAAGCTGGGGGGTCCTCTTCCTCTTGGACCTTCTCTTGTTCGCCCTTCTCTCACCAACCTTCCATGGTCTTCATATGAATATTAAAATCATATCCTCGCAGTCGTTCATAAGCAAACTCATCACCATCACCTCCACACTCACCATCACCATAAACAGACTGCGGACTTCACCCCGTCTCTACCCTGACCAAGACCGCAAAATCTCCCTCTCGACGAATAGTCCGCGAGGGGTGGAGAAATCGCCTCCCAAGGCACTGGCGGAAGCCACATTAAATAACGCGCCGACCTCCTCTCTTTGTTCGTCAACGCCGACAATCTCAGGGGCCGCGGGGCCGCCCTCGAGAGCCCACTCGAAATCTGTTTGAGCCTTGTGGCGTGCTTGGAGATCTCGACTTTCCTAGAAATCGCATGCTCAAACTTAACCCACAGTGGGCGTTGGTCCTCTCCTCTGCACATGTCGTCAATATCAGAGCCCACTCACCCACTTGACCTTGTCGGCGCAATCTACGCCGGCCGTGAAATAATCGAGCCGGTGCATCCCCGACTTGCGCGCCGACCAAGTGCGCCCGCCAGCGAGCGGGGGCGCGGCGTCTACAGCCCGGCGCCTCGCAGCCCCGGGCAGCCGCGCAAAAAGAGCGCCGTTGGGAAGCGCTTCCTGACAGAGCCCACAATCACCAACAAACTCGTCGGATCCCCCATTGCGAACGCGGGCGCCGGCGTCAAGCAAGGCAATGGCTGGCCCCCACTTCGCTAAAATGTCTTCTGTCTTGCCCCACCGGGCGCGCATTTCCTCGAAACGTCGGCGGCCGCGGGGGGGCGCGCGCAACCGCCGCGCACGCCTGAGAGCACGCGGCAAGCGCCGAAACGAGCAATCTGCGAGGGCCAAAACGCCGCACCCCCACGCCCCCGCGCCAATGGATTTCTCAACGCCCACGACCATCGACGCGCAACTCGCAGCCGAGGGAAGCCGCCTTTCGAACCCGAAGACCGCGCCGCAAAATTCTCCGCGGACCCCTCGCCGCGGAGGCGAGCGCGCATCCTGGGCCCCGGCGAGGGGCCGCCGCCGATCCCTGAACTGGGCCCCGACGTGGGCCGCCCTTTCGACGACGGCAATCAGATTCCTAGGCTTCCTCTGGCAAGACCCACCGTCAGCCAGGACGCCCTTGAGCAGCAGGGCATCGAGACTGACGTCCTCGAGCTTGCAGACGCGGCGACGAAGCTCGCCCGCTGGACAGGCAAATCGACGACTCCCAGCGGGGGGGGGGGACTCGCGAAGACCAGAGCACCCCCGTCGCGCACTCGGCGCGCCCCCCCATAGCCGCCCAAATTGAGGGCCCAAGCCCGCCCACGCTTCTGCGACCACTCCGGGGGCCCGACGAGATCCAACGGGGGGCCTCGGGAGAACGGTGAGAAGCCTGCCTATGTGGCGATGCAGTCGGCCATCTCGCCCCAGGGGCATTCTGGGCGCCCTTTGACGCGTCGGCCCTGGACCTTTCTCGCGCGTGCCAATATGTTTTCATGGAATCAGTGAGCCAACCGTGCTCCTGTCGATTCCTTGCCGATGCGCCGTTGCCTGGCGCCTGGCGCCTGGCTTGGCTGACTGCAGAATCGCACTAGCGACAGCTCGATAATCCCCCCTCGCAAGCCGAAGCCCAATGAGGTCGCCGGCCCACGCGAAAGCATCGACACTGGGCGGGAAAGATGCGGCGGCGATCACGGCCCACAACGCGCCCGCCATCTCGGCCTGCACACTGGGCACACGGGAGGAAAAAAAACAATTGGAGAAACGCGCGGCCACCTTCTGGCCGAACTGGCACTGGGCGCCCCGATCGAGCTCGCCGCGGGAAGAGCCCCCGTAGCCCCGGGAACCCAGCGGCCAAGGGGGCGGCGACCGTCTTCGGGGCCGCCTGTCAAACAAGAGGGAAGGGGCGCGATCGGCGGTCGCGCGGCAAACTACCCAGCCGCACCGTGACCAACTCCATCCTGACGCATCTGGCAGAGAGCCACGCGGCGCTGCCGCGACACTGGCAGGCTCCGCCGGCGGCCGTTCCAGGAAGCAGTAGCGCGACACTGGGCGACTTTCCCCTGGCGACCTCTGCCGGGGAACGACCCGGCGGGCAGCGGCGCGCGGCCTCGAGCGAGCTGGCAAGCAGTACCCTTTCCTTGCATTGCTGCCGCCTGCCAGACGGAACCTCGCGCGCGGCGGCGCACGCGCGCGAGGCCGCTCGACAGCTGGCGGCGCGAGGAGCAACTAATGTTCGAGCGCGGCACTGGGGCCCGGCCAAGCTGGTCTCAAAGATGTGATCGCCCCCGCCTGTAGGGCTGCAAAACGAACGCCGGCGAGCAGAAACGGCGCCCCCCTACCCCCCTGGCAAAAGCATTATCCAGGGTTTGGCGCGATCTACCTGCCGCGCGCCACTAAAAGCAAACCCTCGCAAGCGCGCTGCGAACGTCGCGGCAAACTGGCCCAACCACGCGCTCCAGCGAAAGGCCTGGCGGCAGCGGGGGCCCCCGCTCACCGCGGCCTGGAACGGACTGCGCGCGCTGGCAGTGATGCTGCGCAAAACGCGTCTGGACCCACTGCCGGCTCTGCTGAACCTGGCACGCGGTCGCACTGGAAATATTACCCAGTACGCAATCACTGCCGCATGGAAGGAAATCCGGCCTACCCACTGCGGAATGGAAATAACAACCACCCAGCCCGCAACCGCTGCCACCTAGATGGGGGCACTGCCCGTCCACCTTCGGGCCACGGCTACCTTCCCGGAATAAGGTCCCACCGGGAAAAACAAACACGTGACCGTGCGGAACTCGGGGGGGGCGGGGGCGCCACATGCCGGGCCCATCCCAGACGACCAGCGCCAGTGATGACCGACCCGGCAACTTCTCTACCGGCCAAAAACCAACTGGCACCAATTACAACCAGCCATCTTGGGCCTGGCCTACACTAGGACTCCTTTTGCACAACATGTTGAAACGATCCAAACATCAAATGAACGTCAGCAGGGTGCGCGCTCACATGTGGAACCAACACGAGTGCCCCAAGTGTAATGCGCACCAGTTTCCTTCCTGGCATCCGGAAGCTGCGCTGGTTCGCAACGAACATTCGCAACGACGCCCATCACCTCAAAGCAACGCCGTATATCCAACGCAACAGCATCTATTCACAACGCACACCTACACACCTTTCGCAGCAAAACAAATCGAAAGCCCGATGCGATGCAGCATCCTCGTTGTCCTCGGCCGCCCCTCCCTCCCCCTACTCCTCCGGGGCCCCCCCGGCGTTCTCAGAAGTCTTTGGGTTCCCCCCAGACATCCTCCAGACATCCTTGAAGTTCTTGCAAGGAGCTCCCCAGGAGCATCTAAGGAGCTTCCAAGGAGCTTCTAAGGAGCCTCTATGGGGCCTCTCAGGGACACTTCTGAGGAGCTGCTCAGGAGCCTCTGAGGAGCGGCCAAGGAGCCTCGAAGGAACTGATAAGAAGCCCCTGAGGGGCCTCCAAGGAGCTTCAAAGGAGCCTCTGGGGAGCTTCTACAGAGCCTTTAAGGAGCTTCTACGGAGCCTATACGGGGTTTTAAAGGAGCCTCTCAGGAGCGCACAGGGAGCTTGCAGGGAGATTCATAGGAGCTGCCGTGAAGTTTTAGTTCCAGAAGCTTATATGGAGCCTCTAAACAATAAGGAGCATACACAGAGCTGCTGAGGAGCCTCTAAGGAGCCCCTAAGAAGCCTTTTTTAACTATTAGACTTTCAACTTTTTCGACAAATGCATCGACGCCAAACGATTGAAATTTGGACGGGCACGGTTGGAATCCGCCCTGTTTGGTTCTACGTTTTCCCCCATTTTCGGGGGGGCGCCCCCCCTGCCGACAGGGCCCGAGTCTGGGCGCAACCGACGCGCGCGTGGGCATGGCGAGCCAATGCTCGCGCCGTCCTGCACCGCCTCACGGGCGATCCGTGCACTTGCGGGCGCAGCGAGCGGGCGCTCGCGCCGCCGCGGTGGGGCACGGGCGGCTGGGGATCATCTGGCCATCGACGCGCATGCTGGGGCACGCTCCACATCGCGGGATACTGTTGCCTCCCCGGCGCCGGCATTTGCAAGGCGGGGGCTCGCCCGTTTTCGCGACCACCTGAAACTAGACCAGGTCGCTCGCGACGGTCACACCTGCGCGCCGAAGCGGTTCGGCTCGCGGCGGGCGCGCGCCACTTGGCGCGGGAGCTCCTGCGACTGCCCTCAACTCCCCCCCCCTCCGCAGCTGCGTCGATGGCCACCACGGGCGCCGCAGTGGCTTCGCCCGCCATCGACCCCTGGGCGTTAGGCATTGGCCGCCGAAGCGACAGAGACTGCCCGCCCAGCGATCAACTCCGCTGGCGCTGCGGGGACAAACGGCTGCGTCGGCGTGGTCGGGCACGGCGATTCGACTGGCGCAATCGCCTCCGCCTCCTCCTCCACCTTGATCGCCCACCACTCTTCCAGCTGCGAGTCTCCCTCCTTCAACTTCTGACCCTTGCCTTTGCCTGGTTTTGACTACTCCGATCCGGGCGCCCCCAGGCCCCCCCCCTCTCGGAGAGCCTCTTCTGGATGGGCTTCGCCGACAGGTCTGGGCAAGCACCCGCCGCGGCACTCGAACTGGCTGGGTCGGCTGGCGCGGCGTGAGACGACCGACCTGGCGCTGCGGAGCTGGCAGGCGTCGCGACGCGCCTGGCCGCCGACGCCGCTGGCGCCCCGGGCGCTGGTCGATCTGCCTGGACCACTGGCGTCCTGAACGGCTCCTGGGAGGCAACGCCCTTCACCTTTACTTCCGATTGGTCCTCGACCATCTGCCCCCCTGCCCCCCCCCCCCCCACCCCACACCCACCCACCCACGCCGCCCGCCCACCCCGCTCTGGCGCAGAACGCCGCGCGCCCTCGCGGGGCTGCGCGACGGCGCAGAAGGGGGCGAGAAAGGCGTAGGCCGATGTGCTTTCGGGCTCGAACGCGGCGGAGATGCGCGCACGTCTCTCGCCGACGGGCCCAACTCCCATGGGCGGCATTTGACCGCGCGCAACTAGATCCTGCATTCTGCAGCGCCCGAGTTCGCCAGCGCGGCGACCGCGACCACGCTGGCCATGGACGGCGGGGGATGGAACCCAGGGCGCCACTGATGTGGGCGAAACCCGATGCTGAAACCCATACTCGCGCATGCGCTTGCTGCAGGGAGCCCAGGCATTGGGGGGGGCACCCAAACCCAGGACGCGTCGACGGCGGCGCAGGGGGCGGGATAAGCGTGGCACTCCTGGTGGCATGGAACTGTTGCACGAATTCCGTCACATGGGCCATCCTCGTATATTAATTTCGTTCCGATGCTCGTGCGTGCGATTCTGCTGTCGTCAACTTCGCGATGTGCGTAGTGATGATTTCTCCCGCCGATTCCATCTTTTGTGGGGCGATGAGTGCCCTGGGCCGTAGCTGCGAATGCCGAAAGAGGGGTCGGTGGGAGCACTGGCGCGCTCGGCGGGGGTCTTGCAGGTGACCCACAAACGCCATCCCCTGATTCTCTCGCACCCTCCATATCGATCATCAAGTTCTGGAAGTCCTCCTCCATTGCTATGGTGAGCAGCGAGAAAGTCAGCTCTATCGCACGGTTGGTCTGTTCGGCTTTGATGCGCTTCTCTTTGGGCCCGCTATCCCGCTCCAAGAGATCCCGCAAATCCCTTGTTTCTTTCCTAGCTGGACGCGCGCTGCCGACAACTGAGTTTCTGCACCTGAAACCTCTGTCTGCCTATACTCAAGGATGCGGACTTCCACATAATCTGACCTGGATGGTTCCCACCCAGCAGAATGCGCCGCTTTGACCAACATAGTAAACTGTCATATACTATCGCTGATTGCCCTCCGACGATTGGCGAACGCATCCGTTTGTTCCACCAGGGGGAATATTAACGCATGTGTGCGTTATTCGCGTCCGGCGAGGCCTGGGGTGGCGGTATAGGCCTTCTTGGGCAACTGACGATCTCTCTGTTGCATTTCCACTCCCGGCTGTTCGATCGGTCCTGTGCACGATTCCTCCACGGTGCAGACGCGCCCGAAAGTGAGCTCCAGCCGCATCCACATCCGCACGCACCCTGAGAGAAAAACGCCTGCTGCTGCAAGCAGGGCACTGCCACCTCATATTTAACCGCTCAGAGTCGCGTGATGGTTCCACGATGCCACACCTGCCTTGCACACTCGCAACAGTACCCTACGGTGTTCCCGGGCGGCGCGCGCGCCTGTGTTACGAGGTTTCTGACGGTATCTTGTACGCGGCCACAGCGGTGGCGTCGCCCAAAGCCTCAGACGGAAAAACCGCAGGTGACTCTTCAGCCGAGACGCCCCTCCTCCTCCTCCTCCTCCTCCTCCTCCTCCTCCTCCTCCTCCTCCTCCTCCTCCTCCTCCTCCTGCTCCTCCTGCTCTTCCTGCTCGTCCTCCTCCTCCGCCTCGTCCTCCGCCTCCGACAAAGACGACGACGGCGTGGAATTCTCACGCGACCCTCGTGGGCCTGTCTTCGACGTCTCTCTGGCCGCAGTGGGATGGTTGTGGGGCCCGTTTGCGGCACTGTGGGTTTGCCTTGGGGCGGCATTGGGAACTCCTGGGTTGTATTGAGCCCTCGTGGGGCCGTCCTCGGCCACTTGAGGGCCGTTTTAGGCGGTCGTACAGACGCGGGCTCGCCCGGAAGCCTATCTGGGCTCCCCGAAGGCCCTCTAAAGCAGTCCTCTCCTTGGGGCCCTCTTGGCGTTTTCTTCCATCCCCTTTTGAGCACTCCTTGGTTCTCCGCGGCCCACACACATACACTCTGCTCGGCGGTCGCGGCCTCGCGGGCAGCGACGAGGCGGAGCAAGTCGAGCGAACGGCCCAGTGCAGGCGCGCGCGGCCGGGCCCTCAGACGAGCACACGCACACACACAGACACACACACACACACACACACACACACACACACACACACACACACACACACACACGCACACACGCACACACGCACACACGCACACACACACACACACACACACGCGCACACACACACACGCGCACACACACGCGCACGCACACACACACACACACACACACACACACACAGTTACACACACGCGCGCGCGCGCAACTAACAAATGTGCTTGAATGGGCAATCTGGGGGTCCTCCTGGGGCCCTCCTGTGGCGTGCGGAAGCCGTCTCAGGACATGCCGGGGTGCACCCAGCGGGTCTCGCGGGCCCGAGGAGCTCACGGCGGCACGGCTGGGGGCTAGGGATTCTACGCGCGGGTGAGGGCCAGGGGGGACTGGCTCGGGGTTCTCTGAAAATCCTCTCTCACACACGCACACACACACACACACACCACACACCTCATCTGTACGCACAGAATACCGGACCGCCCCCCGTGCTCCACCAGTGGCGTGCAGGAAACGACGGAACGTAGAAGCTCTGCTGGGAGGGACTGCAACACAGGCCGCCGAGCAGGTTGAAACCTCACAGTGGCCAAACTGCCAGAAGCGAGCCCCCGCCGAGTAGTGGCTCGGGGGGGGGGGGGGCGGAACATCGAGCTGGAGTCTGCGATGCACCGCCGACAGATTGGCCATAGGCCCCCGAGAGCGACGCCGCGCGATCCTGAGCGGGATGGGCCACCAGGCCCCCATATGGGCGATGCGTGGGCGAACGGATGGGCGGCTCACGGGGGGGTCGATGCATCGGCGATCGGTGGGCGGCTCATGAGGGGGGGTCAGCTCTGGTAGCAGACCAACCTCAGACATCTAGATACTGTAGGCTAGCGCTCCTGAAGTAATATCCATCCGATTGACTCAAGATCAAGATGGCCAGCGGAAATACGAGGAAAGGTTCGAGTGGGAATTTCTGTCGATGCATCCCCCTGGCTGAGCCCATCCCCCCCATGACGCTGCACCCGAGCCGGGGGTCCCCAGGCCCGGCCGCGCCGAGCTCGGGGTCGCCCGGATGGGCCGCGGCAGCGCACGCACGTCCGAGATGCGCCACCGGTAGCGCCCCGCCAGGGCCCAACCCTGGTCGCTCTCCAGCGGCGGCTCGCACGCCTGGGTTAGGGGAACAAAACGTGACATAAGCATAAAAACTCGGAGGTCCGCGCGGATCTCCGAGCTTTTATGTTTATGACACTTTTTGTTCCCCCAGGGGTGGCGACCTACCCCCTCAGAGAACTGAACTGAAGTGAACTCGGGGGATGTCCTCCAAAATCTCGCACCCCGGAGGGGGCAGCACTCTACGCCGAATGCGAAAGGCAAACCGATAGGCCGCCTCACCGCAGCAAACCAATAGGCCGCCTGACCGGAGTAAACTAAACCCGAATCGAAGTTCAACTATGCACGCTGTCGCAAAAACTGCCGTGAAAACTCTAATCCATCATGCCACCTCCGCTACACCTTGCGCCGCGTCGCCCTGGTACAAGATGGGCCTGCGCACGCGGATTGGGACCCGCACAACAACCTCCTCGTTGGGAGCCAGAGTGAATCTTGGACTCCAGACAGCCTTGCCGGCCATAAGTCTGGATGTCTGGCCATATGATCGCTTCAAGTTGGTTGCCGCTTGCACCATACACCATACATGGGACAGCGGCGTGCGAATGCAAGGTGCTGCAATACGAGAGCTTCGTCTGTTAAACTGCTCCGCAGTCTCTGCTGGGCCTCTGCGAAGCCCGAATGCTGATGATTATCTTCCGCCGGATCGCACCCCTTCGATCCTCCTGAATCGAACTGGAGGCGGGGGTGGGGCTTCGGAGCTCGCCTCTCCTTCGACGACCTTCCGAACCCCACCCCCGCCGCCCATCGAGTTGCCCGAATCGTGGCTCGGGCGGCTTTCGCCGCCGAGCGCCTCCACGCGGAGCACCCCGAGCAGCACGCCCAGCGGCAGCTCCTCGGCCGGCGGCAGCGCCACGCCGGCCTCCCGGAGCCTCTCAGCCACGGCGGCGTGGGTGCCTGCACCCCCGCGCGCCGGCCTCGCCGAGGCGTGCAGCGCGACGTACGCCGGCAGCCTCAGCCCCATGCGGTCGGGCCGCAGGGAGCGGTTCTCGACCGCCTTCTCGGGGGCGCGCAAACACCCTGCCCGGCCTCCTCCTCCTCCTCCTCCTCCTCCTCCTCCTCCTCCGCTCCTCTCCTTCGTTTCCTCCTCCCTCCTCTCCTCCTCCTCCTCCTCCCTCCTTCTTTTCCTCCTCCTCCTCCTCCTCCTCCTCCTCCTCCTCCTCCTCCTCCTCCTCCCAACATGAGAACGAGCCAGGGCGGCCGCTCATGGCTTAGCGGTCCGTGGCTGTGGCGCGCGGTCGCCAGATGCATGGATCGGGGGAGGTGCCCTCCCCAACATGCGGCCAGTGCCGCCTCGCTCGGCGGCGGAACTCCGCGATGGCCCCTGGAAATTAACGGGGCCCGTCGCAAGTTCCCGCGCCCCCTGGATCCACGTCTGCGATCCCCGGAGCCTTCGCGCCGCACAGGATCGCGAAGGCGAAGGGCTGCTGCACCGAGAGCGCCCGCAGCGGCCCCCCGCCGGCCCCGGCCTGGGCACGCCGGCCGGCCAGAGCTGGGGGGGCGGCGTGTTCCTGCTAATACGCTGTTCCCCGCCCCCTTTCGAGGGGGGAGCCCCATCGTGCTGACGATCGTAGGCGAACTAAGAATGACATGAACATAAAATCTCGGATGTCCGCGTGGACTTCTCGGATCCGCGCTGGACCGCCTGGCGGCGCCTCCGGCGCCGATCCGAGGAATTCGCGCGGACCTCCGAAGTGTCATGTCTATGTCATTATTCCTTCCCCTACGATCTCGCGAGAGGGGTGCCGAAGCCGACGGTCCAAGAAGGGAGTTCGGGACCACAGCTCCCCCAAGCTGGCGTGCCAGGGCCCCGTCGACAGGGCTTCTGATCAACGAGGACCTTGAGGGCACGACCCGCAGCAAGCACATGCGAAAGCACAGTCAACCCGTATCGCAAGGATGCGCGAGAAGGATGCAAGGGCTCCGGAAGGCCATTTCGGGGCGTTTCGAGCGGGGCGCGGCCAGCGAAAGTGGCCGAGGATGGGCCGAAGGGGCAAGGATGCAAGGGGGGACCATGGGAGACCGCGTCGGCAACCGATCTGGATTCTGGAGATGCACCCTGGAGGCCACAGGAGACCAGACCACGGAGACCACGTCGGCAACCCACCTGCCATGGCGAGATGCACTCTGGAGAGCGGAGGTCTTGGCACCTCCAAACTCCGAATCTGCCCGCGGCACCCCGGGCGAGCTGTGGCCGAGGACCCCACCGCCCCCGAACGACAACCAGAGGCATGCCCAGGGTTGTCGTTCGGGCGCTCGGCGGAAAGACAGAAAACAGGAGTTTCACTCAATTCACGAAATCCGATTACCCTCCCGGGGCCCGACACGAGAAAACCGTCCAGTTTCGGTACGTTCTAGGTGCTCGAAATTTTCTCTGGTGGTCAAGGCCGAATTATAAACATCATAACCCTTGGGAAGGTTGCCCGTCCTTCCTAGGCGGGTTGGCTGCAGACCCTGCTCTGTGCAACCTGGGGGCTCGCTTGCCGTCGAGCTGTGGGAGAGCCCTGAGCTCCCTGAGGTGCCCCAGGCCCCAGGGCTTCCGCGAGCTCCCGGGGCCCTCCGGGTCAAAATGTGCTTAAAATGTTTAAGCATGTTGAAAACATGTTGCTTGCATGTTTAAGACGTGTGGAAAACATGTACTTATTTGGACATCTGAAATGTCTGTGGCAACATTTTTCCTCTCCGTTGATCGTCGTCCACAGTACTATGCGGGCCTGCTTTGCGCAACCTGGGGGCACGCTTACCGTCGAGCTGTGGGAGCGCTCTGAGCTCCCTGAGGTGCCCCATAGGGCTTCCGCGAGCTCCCGGGGCCCTCCGGGGCACACAGGAGCTCCCGCGGGGCACCTGCTGGCAGGGCCGGTCTCTGAAAATGACGTATACCTCGTGATCCTTTCTCGGCGGCGAGCGAGGGCGGGACTGAGAGGGAGAAGGCCTTACCAGGAGGCTCGGGAGTCCCCCGCGGCGTTCCGAGAAGTCTCCTACTGGCCTTCCCCGAGGACCAAGAAAAAACACGTCTCCGCAGGCGGAGGGCTTCTGAAAAGTCCCGCCGCCTTCTGGGAAGGCTGTCTCCTTCTCAGTTGCCCCCTCCTCGCTCGCCGCCGACTTTCGCGAGGCGAGCGATCGGGGCCCTCCGCCGCGCCTGCTGCCCCAGCCGCTGGCCCGCCGCCTTCGCCGCCCGGCCCTCGCGCTGGCGTCGGGGGCTGCGTGCCCCAGCGGCACCGCCGGCGCCGCCGGCACAGCCGGCGCCAGCCTGTGGGGAAAGCAAAAAGCTACGGATCCGGCTGGCTCGCGTCGCGATGTCGCGGGCGGCGGTTCTTCACGCCGCGTGGATCGTCTCGGACAGCGCAGGTCGCTCGAAGTCGTCCGATTCTGGGGCACTGGCGGCATCGAAGCTGGAACGCCCGTGCTGGTACCGCCACTCCTCGGACCTCTCCCAGCGCGCGTCCTGACCAACAATTCGAGGCGAGCCCAGTCATAGCCACGAGGGCCTCCCAGGAGGCCAGAAGAGGCGAAAACGAGGCAAGGGTATCGGCACCAGTACCTTTCACAGGCACCCGGCCTCATGATTTTCTCAGAATGTCCCTAAAGGTCTCGACCCACTCCCAGTACCAGCTTTTCATCCTGAGTCAGGTTTGACGGTCCCGAGGCCCGGTGCCCCAAGAGGCCGAAAGCCGCAAAACCACCTCATGCCGTGACTTTTCCTCAGATTGGACTTCGCCCCCGAAAAAATGCAACATCGAACAAACAAAAAATTGCCCCAGACCCCATCCTTCTGCATCAATTATTCGGGCAGGATCGATCCGTGAGGGCCCCGGGGCGCGAAACTGGGCGAAAACGCCCGGTGTGAAAACACGATGTTTGTTTCCCGAACCCGCGCGACGGACGACAACCTCAAAGCCACGATCTCAGTGAGGCCAGCGTGCTATCACAGTGCGAACGGCAAGAGGTGAAACGCACAAGGCACGGATATCTTGCGAAGAAGGGGAGGAGGAGCAGGAGGAAGAGGAGGCGGAGGCGGAGGAGGAGGAAGAGGAGGCGGAGGAGGCGGAGGAGGACGAGGAGGAGGCGGAGGAGGAGAAGGAGGAGGCGGAGGAGGAGGAGGAGGGAGCAGAGGGGAGCATTTCAACGCCAGAATCTCACGGTGCGGCGCGACGCGCGGGCGTCTGAGCTTTCTCCTCCGCCTCCGGGCCTGCGCGGCGGCTGTGGCGCCGCGGGCGCTGGGAGCGCCGCCCGCCCGCGGGGCCCAGCGGCCGCTGCGGAGGCGGTGCCTCTTCGGGCTCTGGGCCGCGCCGTCCCCGGGGGCGGCCGCGCCCTCGGGGGCGCGCCTGGCGCGGGCGGCGGGCGCCCCCGCCCCGGCGGCGGGCTTCGGGGGCTGCTGGCCCGGCGTCGCCTGCGCGGGCGGGCGACGCGGCGGCGGCCGGGCCGACCGCCGGCACCGAGGGGTGTTGGTCCCTCTTCGCGGTGCGTCTTCTTGTTGTAGTTGTCTCTCTCTCTCTCTCTCTCTCTCCCTCTCTTTATCTATGTACATCTATATTTACGTATATATATGTGTGTATCCATATATGCCTCTCTCTGTCTCCCTCTCTTTGTATATGTATATGTGTTTGCACGTGGGATTGTATGTATGTATGTGTATGTGTATGTATGTATGTACGTACGTACGTACGTACATATGTAAGTATGTATGCATGTATGTATGTATGTATGTGTGTGTATGTATGTATGTATGTATGTGTGCATGTATGTATATATGGGTGTATGTATGTATGTATGTATGTATGTATGTATGTATGTATGTATGTATGTATGTGTGTATGTACGCATGTACATGCCTGTAGATGTACACACCTATGTGTATAGATGTACGGACATATTTCTATATACCTATATATATATACATTATAAACATGGCCATACATGTTTGTATGACTGCATGTGTGTCCTTCATGTGTTTCCTCTCTCTCTCTCTCTAAACTATCTTTCTGGGGCATAGAAGGCCCCAAAACGGGCCACGAGGGCCCCAAGAGGCTCCCAAAACGGTCTAAGAGGGCACCGAGTCGCCGAAAGATCGTTGCAAGACGCCGAAGATGGCCGCTAGACGGCCGAAGAAGCCCCCGAGACGCCCCAAGTGGCCTCCAAGAGGATTGATTTTCCTTTGGTTTGTGAAGGTTGTTGGCTTTCTCGCCTTCTCGGCGCACCGACGCTCCAAGACAGCCCAAGAAACCCACAAGATAGCCCGAAGACGGCCCAAAAGGCCCCCAAGAGGGCCCCAAGACGGCCCAAGAGGCTCCCAAGACGGCTCCGAGAGGTACCCCGGAGAGGTACCACGAACCGGAAATTCTAGCCTTCCGCCTCAAGAGGGGCCCAGGAGACCCCAAGAGCGCCCCAAGAGGCTTCCAAGAGGCTCAAAAGAGGCCCCCAAGAGGCCCAACACAGGCCCACATCAGGCTTAAAAGCTGCCTTCAACAAGCCCCCGAGAAGCTTACCACGAGATCCCAACGAACACTCAAGAGCACTCTGACCCACGACCCAAGCACTGTGGCGGGATGAGCCAAAGGCGGTGTAATATTCAACGGTTTGGGAGCCCGAAGAGGGTTTCCAGAGGCCGACATCGATGAAAAACCTCCAAAGATCGACAATCGACAAAACAACTCCTTTTATTCCACTTGCCCCCTGGGCCCCCGCCGCGGTAGGCGCTCTTCTCCTCCTTCACCTCCCCTTCCCCTTCCTCTTCCTCCCCCTCCTCCTTCTGTCCCTCCTCATTTGATCGTCCGACGTTTCTCATTCTCCGTTCCTGCTCAGACGTACTACAAGAAACAGTGTCCCCCCGTCCCCAGCTCGAATAACTATGACGACGGCGACGACAACGATGATGATGTTGATAATGATGATGGTGGTGGCGATGCTGTTAATGATGGTAGCGTTGATGCTCCTGATGATTATCATAATAAAAATAATGATAATAAAAATAATGATGATAACAATCATAATAATAAAGTAGTAACAATAACAATAAGAGTAATGATAATAAGAATGGTGATGATGATGGTGATTGACGATGACGATGGCAATGACAATGACAATGATGATGATGAAGATGATGATGCTGGTGATGATGATGATGATAGGAGGGTTGGCGGATGTGGCGTAAGCCTGAATAATGTATAGATACATACATCGCTCTCTCTCTCTCTCTGTCTCCCTCTCTCTCTGTCTCTTTCTCTGAATGATGGAGGTGACTGAGGCAGGCCAGTAAGCAACAGCAAGGAGAGGACTCTCGCATTTGCATGACGCGGCGACCTTGAAGAGCTCAGGGAGACGTTTTTCTCCGCCTTTCTCTCCCTCTCTCCCTCTCTCCCTTTCTCTCTCCTTCTCTCTCTCTCTCTCTCTATCTATAGATCCCTCTCCCTCTCCCTCTCCCTCCCTTTCTTCCCATCTCAACCTCTCGCAAATATTACATGCATACCTATATACACACATGTATGTGTAAGTATGTGCATGGTCCGGGGTCTGGGCCCCCCCCTCCATCATGCTGATGCCACGGGCCCCCCCCCCCGCGCGATGGTCCCCCCACCCCCTATGGGTGTGGTGTGGTGCTGTGGGTGTGGCGTGTGTAGCGTGGTACTGTGGTGCTCCAGGAGAGCTCTGGAGGTCGTCGTCGTCGCCGCCGCCCGCGTCGTCGGATGAGGGCTCCGGTCGGCGCCGCCGCCGCAGCCGCGCCGCCGCCGCCGCCGTGGTCGTTGTCGTCGTCGTCGTCACCGTCGTCGTCGTCGTCGCCGCCGTCGTCGTTGTCGTCGTCGTCATCGCCGTCGTCGTCATCGCCGTCGTCGTCGTCGTCGTAGCCGTCGTCGTCGTCGTGGTCGTCGTCATCGTGGCCGTCGTCGTCGTGGCCGTCGTCGTCGCCGTCGTCGTCGTCGTGGCCGTCGTCGTCGTCGTCGCCGCCGTCGTCGTCGCCGTCGTCGCCGCCGTCGTCGTGGTCGTCGTCGTTTTCGTCGCCGTCGTCGTCGTCGTCGGCGTCGTCGTCGTCGTCGTCACCCCCCCCATCCAATAAGGGGGGAGGGAGCCCGTGGAGCCCTGGGACCCATCCCATCTTCCCATCTGGTGGGTGGGGGCGTGGGCCCGGAGCCCAGGATCACATGTGCATGTGTGTATGTGTACATGCATGCATGCATGCATGCATGCATGCAGGTGTGCGTATGTATGCATGTCTATGTATGCATGCATGCATGCATGCATGCATGCATGCATCTATGTATGTGCATGCATGTGCATATATGCGCATGTATGTGCATGTATGTGCATGTATGTGCATGTATGTGCATGTATGTGCATGTATGTGCATGTATGTGCATGTATGTGCATGTATGTGCATGTATGCATGTATCCATGCATGCACGTATGCATGTATGCATGTACGTATGTATGCATGTATGCATACATGTATGCATGGATGCCGCATATATATACATATATATATATGTGTGTGCATATATATATATGCATGTACGCGTGCATCCATGCATTCATGCATGTATATGTATATGTAGATGCGTATATATATGAATATGTGTGAATGTGCGTTCGTGTCTGTGCATGTGTGTATGATTGTGTGTACGCATACTTGTTTGTATGAATGGATGGATGGATGCATGCATGCGTGTATGCATGTGTGCATACGTGTATGCATGTATGCATGTATGCATGTATGCATGTATGCATGTATGCATGTGTGTATGCATGCATGTATGTATGTATGCCCGTCTGTCTGCCCGTCTGTCTGCCTGTCTGCCTGTCCCTCGCTGCCTGTCTGTCTCTGTCTGTGTGTCTGTCGGTCTGTCAGTATGTCTGTCTGTCTGTCGGTATGTCTGTTCGTCTGTCTGTCTGTCTATCTGCCTGTATGTATGTATGCTACCCTGCTCCTCCGTCTACTCATTCCCTCTTCTTGGCGCTCCCCGCACAGCATCGACTCCTGCACTGGCCATCGTGCCCGTTCCCCTGCGCCCTCCCTGGCTGAACCCTGCCCCATACCCCTGGCCACTCCCAAGGGAGCTCGCTGGCAAACCTCCCAGATGAGCGACGCACAAAAAAACTGGTCTTACGCGGGGAAGTCGCGAGTAAGTGCCCTCGCTTCCAATGTGGCGTGCCGCGCTGGCGGCCCGCTTAAGCC